TGACCCACTCGCTCCCGAGTCAAACAGTACGAGAGCAGGAAAAGAGTTCACTAAGAACGTACCTAACATAGGTACAAACACATGAACATACAATAAACATAATCAATGAGATAAGGGATAGAAACATACCAGCCACCACATCTGGTGATGTCCTGGCCACCTCGGCAGTTAGCTGGAAAGCGCGTCCCCGAGCCCTCGGGGGTGCCGCCCTACCCTGACTCCCATCAGTGATATGTAAAGTAGTCGTCGTGGGAGCTTGCGCTGGCTTGGTAGCGAGCAAGGGACAGTTGACCTTCATATGGCCAACCTGATCACAATGATAGCAGATCCGCATATCCACAGCCGAGGCGGACTGGTGGCAGTCCCTCGCATAATGCCCCTCCTTGCCACATTTGTGGCACCCACTACCATATCGACATGATCCAGTATGAACCTTCCCGCACTTCCCACAAGTGCGGCCACGCTGACCTCTCGTCCTAGAATCGACGACTTTGAACCACTTCTGCGCCAGCTGCGACTGTGTCGGGGTCTGCCTCTGCTCCCTCAATTGAAGCTCGATCTCTAACTCACGCCGCCTAGCAGCCTCATGTAACTCCAGTAAAGTGTCACAACACTGGGTAGCAATGAACCGTCTGATGTCAGTCTTGAGCATGCTCAGATAACGAGTAATATGAGCCTGCTCAGAAGCAAACTTCGGGCAAAACATTCCCCTCTAGGTAAACATCCGGGTGATCTCCATCACCGACTCCGTAAGCTGTCTCAAGTCCAAAAACTCTTGAGCCAACCTCTCGCACTCAACCCGAGGAATATAGCGAGCGCGGAAAATCTCCTTGAACTGATCCCATGATACCGCAGTTCTCTGCTCATCTGAATACGACCCCGTAACAAGTCTCCACCAATCCTTCAGCACTAGTGTATGCTAGCCATACATAACACTAGACCCTATAGACATTTGAATATCCAATCCTACCCTAAGCCCTTCATCAAACAATAATAGGAAATAAGGCCAAACCAAGCATTCCTATTCTATAAGATCTTAGTTATATACAACCGTGATGCATACACTAAGAAACTACAGTAATGATGTTAATTTCATATACGGAAAACCCTAGGCTATCAGGCATCATATAATAAGGCAATTATATCATGCGATTCCTGAAGATCCCTAGCCTATCACTAGGATGCTGTTCTAACATATCATAATATCATATAATAGTATGGTATTTTGGATTCTATTTACTGGCTCCGGCTGATCGTACACATCACATCCTCCTTTAGTACTTTGAAAACCTTTTGAGAATCATTTTGAAAAACTTTTCCTTAGTTTAAGATTGGATTCACACGAGTGTTCCTCTAATTCACTCAAACCCACTCTGATACCAACTTGTAACATCCATAAAATTCGAGAAAATTTTAAACTTTTCAAACAATCCAAAAATATCCATTGTTTACAAATTGTTTTTAAAATAATACACTATCAAAGTTTTTCCCAGAAACCACAATATGAAAAACGAGGAGGTGCACGATCATACCTTCGCCTTCCCGAAATCATCCGAAGTACCTGAAACAAAATACACAACTGTAAGCCCAAAGCTTAGTGAGTCTTCCCCAAAATACCACCACACAATAATAACCAATAACAACATGCATAATGAGCCTTCAGCCTTACTGGACCGCCTCGTAGAGCCTTCAACCTATCTGGACCGCTCTTGAGCCTTCAGCATGACTGGACTACCTCATAGGGCCTACAACCTATACTGACCGCTCGTCTGGCCTTCGGCCTGACTTCCCTGCCTTCAGCCTATCTGGACCGCCCTGGGTCTGTTGGCCTATAGCACAAAGCAGGACCACCTCAACCTAACCAGACACACATACATGTCGACATATAAATAGCAATTAAGCACATAGCCAGCCTATAGACAGTCAAATCGATCTACAGAACACTAAGCATATAAACATCATATCTACAAGGATACCGATCGAACAGATGACAACAGTAATAACAATCAAAAGGGCCAGCCTTGGTGACTTCAACCCTATAGTATTGTGAGGAAAAACTCACCTCACAAGTAGTGTTGAACTGGTAAGATCAAATCCCAACTCGCAGCCGGAACTCGGCTGCCTACAACCACCCTATGACTAACTTTAGTAAAATCCTGAAATACCCAAAATACCCTTCAATTCAAACTTGGTCAACCGTGGTCAGAGTCAAGGTCAACAGTCCATGTTGACCCAACTCGTCGAGTGCATCTATGAACTCGTCGAGTAATTCTAGTATTCATAAAAACGGGACAAACCCTAGTCAACTCGTTGAGTTAACAGATCAACTGATCGAGTTCCTACAGTATCCCAAAAACGGGAAAGCCCGATCGAACTCGTCGAGTTTTCCTAGTCTTAACATATTCAGTCCTTTCCAAACGAATCTAAAGCCCCAAACTATAGATCTGGTCCCTTAGGGCTAAGATACCACATAAAGTTGCTACTTTTACATCCATGCAAGGCATTAAGGGGCTAAAACACTCAAGCAAAGCTTATTATGGGACTTTGGGAATGAAGGAGGGCTATGACTTGATAAAGTTGGCAATTTAAGTCAATGGAGGCCTCGAGATCTCCAAATCTGAAACCCTAGCCTCATATCATGCTCAAATCCAAGAAGGGTCCCAAACTAAGACAATAATGGCCATAAACTTTCAAAATGAGAGATCTAGCAAAAGGGATGATCAAAATATCGACTTTATACCTTCAAATGACTGCAATAAAACTGAGAATCTCGGATCTAAAGCTTCTCCGTTCAACTATGCACTACCAACTTCACACTTTTTCAAGAAAAGCACCAAAGAACATTCTTTAAACTCTCACACACACAAAATGGAAGAAGTGGCCTGATTTAGGGTTTCTTTGGACTCGGCGGACAATGAGGGAGGCTAACAATGAGAGTTAAGTCCTTTAAATAGGGTGCAAACCCTAAAAATTAGGTTTTTCATGTTCAACACTCAACTCATCGAGTTGGAGCCTTCCAACTCGTCGTGTAGGTCCTATAAAAGTCATGGCGATTAAAACTCTACACGACGAGTTAGAGCCTTCCAACTCGTTGAGTTGTCCTGAAAATATAAATATATAAGCTTAAAATTCATACCTGAAGATTGGGATGTTACAACATGCATGTATAAGATCGAATTAGAAGCCGGTTCGACGATAAATCCACGGTTCGGGGTTTCTAAAGGGGCAGCGCCCCTTTGGTAGGGTCTAAGGGTAATGGCCTTAGCAGGGTCCAAGGGGCAGAGCCCCTGACAAAAAATCTTTGAATTTTACATATGGGAACATAGTTGGAAAATGAATTCTTGAGGGTGATTATGGTAAAACGAACGAAATTCGTCAGTTTTGGAAACCCTAAATCCTCATTAAATTCCGGATTTCCCTGACTTGCTTCCAAAGCAACCCATGACGGCCTATCCTAAGAGGCAAACCCTAAATCTCGTTTATTATATAAATGGCTCTTCTCTTTGAGAAGAGGAGGCACCTTTTAGCTCTCTTTTCTTTAGACGAACATAAACCCCTTCTAGCAAATTGTCTTACGATTTCCGTGCCTAGATTCGTAAGTGTCCTTTTGGACTACCCTAGGCTTAATTTCTTGCAACCCAGACATAAGGGTAAAAATATCAGTTCGGAAAGTGTTCACATGATCCAAGGGGTATCCGGATCTCCCGCATAAACCCTAATTCTTCCAACAATTTCTGCATATTTTTTGATGAGAAGCAAGCAATGAAGATGCTATTAAAGCAATCAATGGAACGGATTTCAAAGGAGGGAGCTTGAAGGTGGTCCAGGCATGGACTAAGGTAGTGATTGTTCCTCCTTTTCCATAAAAGTTCTTGGTTTTTTTTATGGGAGCAAAATATTTGTTAGAACCGAATCGAATCAATTATCTAATTCAGTTTGGTTCTCTGTTCCTCCATATCCATAAATTCGGTTCTTGGTTTTCTGGTTTGGCTTGGTTCTAGAATCGAGCTCACCTCTAACTTGTACTGCCATTTGTGGTGATATCTTTTATGTTAGTTTTTCCAGAACAACCCCATTGACGTCATCATCTGTAACCTATTTTGCATATCTAAATGTAAACCGTTGTGAGTTACCGTTCGGATCACTTGATTAAATCAAGATTCTTGTAAATGAAATAAATCAGTTCCATTTGGTTCGACCCCAAATTAAAACACATACCTTCATCCCATTCTTTTTTTTAACAAATTAACCAATTAACCACTGTTATTGTAAGTTGGAGACGTTTGAGGCACAAGGATGTACATGAATTCAATCATGCGATTTGGGAGGATAGGTGGTTCTCTTAAATGGTGCTCCAACAAGAACATTGTCAACTCACTATTCATAACATTATGGATATTGAATCACAAAAGTGTATAAAGCTGAATTCATTTAAAATAAATGAAACATACCATAAACGAACTAATGAAAGTATGATGTTGTTATGGATATGCATCCCTTTTTTGGTGATACGAACAGGAAACAAGATGTTAGAGCCATGGAGATTGAGAAAGTAAATGGCTTGTCTTTTTGTAAGTACTCCAAATTCTTATGTATTTTGTATAATTAAATAGTTGAATAATTACGATGCCATTAATTAACTTTTACCGAAAACACCCATTATCCATGTATGAGATGGTAAAAGTGAAAGGAGTCATCCAAATGACATAAGTGTTGCACTGCTTGACTTCATTCAATTGGTAAAAGTGAAAGGAGTCATCCAAATGACATAACTGTTGCACCGTTTGACTTCATTCAATTGGTAAAAGTGAAGGGAGTCATCCAAATGACATAAGTGTTGCACTATTTGACTTTATTCAATGATAACTAGTGGACATTTGTACATGAATCCAAATAACACATAATTTAATCACACAATTAATAAAATCAAAATCCACTCTAGCATCAACTTAATTGATAAATAGTAATCCAAACATAAATTACCATACTACCCCTGACCTTCATCGGGGTAAAACCGTTTCCGACACTAATCCTTCACGACTGCTGCTATCGGTCGACACCAATCCATGTTGTATTCCCACTCCAGTCGACCCCTCAAACTCATACTCCTCATTTACACTCACGTCCTCTCCTTTCACAGGAAACATATATTCTTGATTTTCCGACATGCCACCTATCAACTCACCCACCATATCACCTCTTTTCTCAGCCGCCTCCTGTAACTGCAATGCAAACTCTAACCCCCAAACAACTTCATCCATCTTCGGACGTTTACTCCCTTTCATTCTTAAACAACTATTCGCAACCTCACCAAACTTCATCAAACAATTAGGAGCAATCTCATCACTTATTCTCTTATCAAGTATCTCTTTCAACGTCCCCTTTCCATAGTTTAACCTACCCCATTCAGCCAAATTCACCTCTTCATCGGACACACCTCGGTTTATGATCACTGGCCTCGAACACAACACCTCTAACAATACAACCCCAAACGAGTACACATCAGATTTCTCTGTAAGTTGTTGCATTTTGTAATATTCAGGATCCATATACCCAAATGTCCCTTTCACAGCTGTACTAACATGATCTACACCTTTCTCTTTTGGCCCTAACTTTGACAAACCAAAATCCGCCACTTTCGCCACCCAATTCTCATCGAGCAAAATATTAGTCGATTTCACATCGCGATGAATAATGGCACGATTTCCACCTGTGTGTAGATAATCCAACCCTTTTGCTGCACCAATGCAAATTTCCAGACGTCGTTTCCAAGGTAAATTAGGGTTGTTTCCTTTGTATAAATGATCTTGTAATGTCCCATGAGACATGTAATCATACACAAGAACCATTTCGGCCTCGTCGTCACAGTACCCAATTAAGGACACAAGTTGGACATGACGTAATTTTGACAGCAACCCAATTTCCGTTTGGAATTCGTGAAAACCTTGTTTGGATAACGCGTTTAGTCGTTTGATTGCGACAGTTGTTGTAGCATTGTCGATGTACCCTTTGTACACCATCCCAAACCCTCCTCTCCCGATTATACAACTTTTATCAAATTCTCTGGTGGCATCTTTCACTTCCTTGATTGTAAATCGGCGACACCTACCGGACGGAAGGCGGTTATCTTTTGATTTTTGCTCACCGGATGACTTGTCACCGGAGTGTTTCATTCGCTGGAAAACGATAAAACCAGAAGTTGACAACAAGAGTACTAACGCTCCGCCAATACCGCCTATTATGGCGGCATACGGCAGAGTTTTGTTTTTCACGGGAGATGACGGCGGCGGTGGTACTGTAGGGCGGAGCTCCGAGTCGCGGTCAGCGAGACTACCGTTCATGCTAAGCTTGAAAACTTCCAAACCGTTCAAAAATGCATCATAGTATTCTTCCGAGTCATCACGGTTAGGACCCATCGCGAGCCACAAATCTCGCTTTCTTCCACTACCATCAAAATCATACACAAATACGCCATAATCTTTAAACACAGGAAACCAGTACCTTGAGTCCAGTAAAACAGATCAGCATACGCTATAGCCGTTTGATTCGAAATAAAAATTTTAAATATCAGCGCAGATTTGCGCCTGTATTGCGGTATAATATTACAAAAGTGGAGCCTAAGGTTGTAATAAAATCCAGAATCAACCGGAAGCTGCCACGTCAGATTGCGATTTTCAGAAGAAGCACCCATGCTTCTTTGCGTAGCATATACTAACTCAGGTGCGGTATAATTCGGTGTGTCAGCTGTGTAGACTATCGGATTCTTGTAAACCTGGGTTACTGTTCGAACTGGGAACAAATATGGATCGTCTTGATCCCACGATCGATACATCCCGGTATCATGGATGGGGGAGATCTTCTCCCCACCGACGTTTAACCTGTAAATATTCTCGAGACACGTGTTCTCTGTGATCATGGGTCCGGAAGATAGACCGATGTATTTTATGTTTTTGGATTTATAATATAAGTATTCCGGTTGTGAAACAATTTCGATACCGTTAATGAACGCATATGATTCGGGTGAGGGGGTGAACGTGATGTTTATGGTTTGGGTGTGGTTTACATAGATGATGAATTCCTTTACAAAGTGGGGAACCTTATTGGAATGGGTGCGTCTGGTTCGCAAGTAGGACCAGGTTTGGAAAGCGCTGAAGTTGGATAAGAGAGAGTAACCGTTTGATGATACAGAAAAGAAAGATTGGTCTGCCTTGTAGTGGGAATATGTAGCGGGGTAGAAATAGAGGCGGAGGAATTTAGGGCCCTTGGCCACCGGAAAAGTGTAGGTGAATGATGTTTTGAAGATTCGTGCAGTGGAGTACGGGATTTCCGGGACGGAAGGATCGCGGTTGTTCGGGGTGGATTTGAAGGAGGTGGTGGTGGAGGGCATGAACTTGGAACGTTCATCGGTGTCCCATTTCCGGTCGGTAGTGGCGGTTGCACCACCACAGTTGAGGAGGAAGTAGTCGGTGGGCTTGTATGGTTGGGCGGCGGCGGTGGTGGTGGTGGTGATGGAGAAGAGGAGGAAAGAAAAGAGTGGTAAAGGGAATGTCAACATGGTGGTTGATAGGTTTACTTTCTTGTTTAGTGAGATCCTTTCTTATTTATGCTCTTTTATAAATTATAAAAGTAGTTAGGGTTATACAGATAAAAAGATTGTTTCCTTGATAATGAAAAGTCTTGGTTATCGCCATTTTCCACTAGCCAGTAGGAAGCATTTTGCACCATGGAATGTGTAATGCGCTTATCGGATCTTTTGTTAATCTATAATGTTATTAATTGTATATGCTGCTACAAACAAGTAAATATATGCTATGAATTATTTATCGACTTTATTACTGAATATTAATCTTCTAACGGAGCATAAACAAACACACTAAAAACGTTTGTACCTGTTGCAATGAGCGTTGTATCCATAATGTTGTTTTCATATATGAAAGGACGAGGGAGATAATGGAAGATACAATATCAAAAAGGTTGTCCATAATATTAAAGATTTTGGTAAAAGCAAAAGTTAAAGAAAACACTTTTATTTTAAGCTACGCCTACACGTATGTTCATGTGTACTTCTTAAAATATCATCTAATTTGCTAAAATAGAGCACCCTCTCTGAAATACCTCATCATGGAGTCCAGTCGGAGCAGGGGATGTTCCATGAAGGTGCCCATAGTGGCACCAACAACCCCTGTTTTTTTATGTAAAAAATTTCGAATTTTTCGTTTTTTCTGTTATCACTAATACAAAACAGCACGCCAGATAAGACTCGGTTTTTTATTAAACCAGGTTATATAATGAAAAAACCGGGTTTTATATTGGAAATTATGATATGTCATGGTTTTAGTGAGGAACCGAGTCATATGTTCATGTTAAATAATGCGGTTGTTGTTCACATAACCGGTTCCTTTTCTGTTATCTGGCCCACTTTCCCTAGTACAACCGTGTTGTATGACTGAGAAAGAGTGTTCAAGATACCATTTTCTAAAAGAGCACTCTATGGCATGCCCTTTAATTTCCTCACATGCAAGGGCTATAACACCAAGATTTTTTAACAATTGGGTTACCTCCAAATTGGAACTAGTTTTGAATCAAGCATAGATTCATGCCCATACTCAATTAACTCTATGAACTTATCCATTATAACTCTCGTTATTGTCTTCTTTGACACACTCTAATATTAATTCCTTGCAAGGTATATTTCTTACTCTTCTTTTGTTCAATTAATATAGGTATATAAAACATCAGCTTTAATCAATTAATATTTAAAGATATCTAGAAATTTCATCAATTTTTATTTACAACAAAGCAACTAACAGTCTAAACATACATATACAGTACAATGTCATTTATCTTAAACAAATAAAAGTTTCAAACACCGCAAAATTGTTTCCATGTTCCAATACTAATTGTTCGTTCATATAATCTGATAAGCAACTAAAATCAAAAGTTCCAAATGACCAAACACAAATATTTCTTTTTGGATGAAATAGAGTTTATTTTGGTGATCTGGATACCCCTTGGATCGTATAGACACTTTCCGAACTGATATTTATATCCTATGTCTGGGTTGCAAGAAATTCTGCCTACGATAATGCAAGATGACACTTACGAATCCAAGCAAGGGCTCTGCCCCTTGGACCCCTCTAGGGGCGCTGCCCCCGGACCCTTGACTTATCATCGTACCGGTTTCTAATTCAATCTTATACATATTTGCACTCTGCACAAACCGGTACACATATTAGAGTACAAATTATGAAGTCCCTTAGCTCACATGTTAGTTTTAATTACATAAAATGACATTGTGACATTAAAATTACCAAGATTTCTAAGTCCAAGTAGGCTTCTAGCGGCCATTCCAATCTCTAGTGTGGATCAAGACAGCCACATGCAGACCTATGTGTTAGAGGTTTAAATGTTATTTCAGACAAGGTTTAAACCAAAAATGTTAGTTAATTTGATCATAGATGAAAGAAAGTAAAATAATTCATATACTCGAGTAAAATTGGATAACAGAATTGACTCTAATTTATAAATTTGTTTAATCAAGTATAAAATAGAGAAATTTATAAGTAGACTGTGTTATCTTGCGTGCAAAAGATTTACAAACAAAAGAATACGAGATCTTATCCATAAATACATTTTATTTTGAAAGAGACACTACAATGAACATTTCTTTACTCTTCACCAAAAACAAATAGATGATAACATGTTGGAATATGGTGTCTAGAATATAATAATTAAGTTCTTTAATCTGATTCCAAAATCATTTTTTAAAGCCACGTTTCTTTTCATTAAGGGATCTGGACTACAGAAAAATAGACCTCAGAACCGATGCTATAAAAAGCATTTTGTATAACCTTTTGGGGAATAAAAGGAAATATCAGTATGTAGAAACCCATTAAAAGGCGTATGGAAACTAGATTTCAAACAATAACAGAAGTAAAGCACATGAACCCTAGATTATGAATAATCAAAAACAATTATTTACCTTATGAACCCTAGATTCCAATCTAAAAATCAAGGAAACGTCTAATCGCCCACCAGGATATCTCAGTACCTGAAATCGACAGTGATAGGTTCGATAAATGGCGATGGTGACAGAATGTAACGATCGGATTGGAAAATAACGATGGAATCGACAGAGTGGTTCAATTGAAGAAAAATATGTTCCTTACAGTGTTAAGAGACTACGGGGTTGATCAGGCTCCGACAATGCTGGGGAGGGGGGCTGAAGGCTGCGGCGACTCGTATTATGGGGGAAGCAGTGAAATCAAAAGGAAATGTTGTATATGATTTTTTGGTTTTGAGGGGGAATTTGTGACATCCCCATTTTCACGGCCAGAAAAGACCGATTTTGTTTATGCTTTATAAAAATTAGAGTACTTCTTTTAATAAAAATGTTGCGGAATTTGTTCCCAGTAAAACATGATAAATACGTTATCAAAGCATTTCCGAAGAAATGTATTTTTATTCATTTTTAAAACATTTGGGATGTCATCGTCAATACAGAAACATAAGCATAAACAGAACTTACATTCATTTACACTAGTGATCTACATCCCTTTAAATCTCTCAGTGTAATGTAACTTCATATCGACACCTGTGATAGAAATAAGTTGGAGTGGGTCAGGTTGGGAAACCTGGTGAGTACATAGGGTTTTCAACCCACAATAATATAATTATTATGTTTAAACATCAAACAATCAACTCAATTACCCATCCCCATTATCTTCTTTACTCTTAAGGATCTACTCTAAGAATCAACTATTCCTCGTTCATTCATTCCTAAGGATCATCCTAAGGAATCGGCACGAAGTCCATCGTCACCAGGGTTTAGGCACTAAGTCTGCATAGTTGCCAGGATTTATACAACAAGCACTAAGTCTGCATAGTCGCCAGGGTTTAGGCACTAAGTCTGCATAGTCGCTAGGGTTTATACAACAGGCACTAAGTCCGCATAGTCGCCAGGGTTTTGGCACCAAGTCTGCATGATCGCCAAGTTTAGGCACCAAGTCTGCATGATCGCCAGGGTTTAGAGTACACCGGGTGAACACATCGCTCACAACACCTACAGGTTGCGAGCCTGCTAGTGTTCCACTGGACTGTCTAGAATAGTCTGTGGTTGTCATCCATACTCTGCTAGATGACGGGGCCAACATTTGGGAACAAGGCTTCTCACATCGTCCACCTCTCACCCTTACCTCATGGTTTATATCACCTCTCAACTCATCATCCAACTCTTATTTCATCTACCCATGTTTTACCCAACATATTATGTAGATATAAATACATATACAGTTTAAATCATATAAAACTTGTATAAAACTGTTCATCCAGCATAGATAGCAAGTATACAAATAATATGCACACATAGTGTCACACCCCAAAACCGGAACGGCGGAATCGTTCGGGGGTGGAGGACGTCATGTTTAGTATCACGAGATATGTATATGGTAAGCAAGTAATGAACAACCATTTCATTTCGAAAGAAATTGTTTACAATGTGTGTGTTCACAAAACATAGAATTCATACACAAATAACAAAACAAGACTTGAAGCTATAATGCTCCATCTTCTGAATCCCCAGCACGAGCACCTGTCTAATAGCCTCCTGAGAATACAAGTTATTTGAAAGAGTTGATCAGCAATTAAGCTGGTGAGTTCATAAGATTTTAGTGATGTGAGTAAGTTGTATGGTGTTGTTGAAAATGTATATGTAAAAATGGTGTAAGTTGTAAGTTCTGTTTTGAAAAGTTCGCCTGTTCCTCTAGAAAATCATATATTTCCTACTTTGATGGAAGTTTAAGTAAAATGACACTACAATCCATTCTATGGGTACTAAGTGGGTACAAGTTATATAAGACTCAGAGTAAACAAACAATCGATTGTGCGCATCTGCCTCAAGCTCACAACCAAACGAGGAACAGAAATTAAGGCGGATAGAACACATTCCATTGGTTGTTAGATCATCGTCATATATAACCCTGGCGTAATCACTTGTTACTCATGGAGTTAATTTTAATGTCTCCTTTATATCTAATGAAGAAGTTCTTTAAGAAAACCCTTATTTCTTATAGTAAAATAGTGACCATAGTGACTACTTTTATAATAGCTTAGTTTATACTGCTATATATACTCTAATATCGGATAGAAAGTTAATTGAGCGAATCTGCCCTAAGCCCACAACCAAACAAGGAACAGGAAGTAAGGCGGAAAGCACGCATCCAACTACCTATTGGGTATTAGTTTTATATATAAACATGATGTATAAACTAAGGTGTTATAGAGTTACTCACCTAAGGTCTTTTAAATTGTACTGGTTTAATAAAATGGATTAAACCCTTTACTGGGAAGTTTCTAGTTTTGTATACCAAAAGTACTGAAAGTATGATTTGTACTAGAAAGAATGTGCTTTGACTCTGTGTCCTATAACCTGACCCATACATGGTACCCTTATGATGACTTAATGTATACTAAGCATACATATATATAGAATCGGATAGAAAATAGATTGGGTGAATTCGTTCCAAGCCCACAACCAAACAAGGAACAGGAAATGAA